AGGGAAAAAACAAAGTCACTGAGATTGACTCTACTGACAGTCAAGATCATTGTTTTCCAATGTCAAATATGTTAGTGTTCTGTTCCCTTCCAGTCTGACCTCTCTGCCTCTTTACGAGCATCTCTGACACTAAAATTGATTTTCAAAAACACCCTCTTCTGGCTTTCCTATAAAATGTAGTTCTAATTAAAAATTAAGTTACTCAAGCACCTCATCTCCCCACTTTGTATCCACAAAGATAAACACACTAGCTTTTCATGTGACTGTAATCTGGTTGTCCTTCTTTTCATTTACTTCCCCTTTCAGTCCCCTGCCTGTGTTATCTCCTCCTGTTGTTCCTGTACTTGCCTAGACTGTAAGCTCTTAGGGGGCAGGGAATCTGTCTTTGATTTGTTTCATGTAGCACCATGAAATATGGAGCTATATAAATAATAAAACAAAGTAGATCTTCTTAAATGATGCTTGAAGTGATAGTGATCTGATTGACTGCCAGTTTAGTAATATGTTGGTTTAGCTCATTGCCTGAAATCCTAATCACTACAGCAATAAAATAGTTTTTAAAAATACAAATAATACACCCAACTCAAACCCATCACACCAGCTCATCTTACTGGAAATTCCCCTACATGGTCACGGTATAGGAATATAGAACCTCATGTTCATATAGCCTCTGTAAAGGGTTTAATGTGAAATCAGCTATATTAAAAAAGGAAAAAAGTAGATTAACACATAAAAAGAATGGTTGCATGTAAAGTGAGCTTTTTGAAAGAGAAATTGTCATAAGTTTAAGCTTGGAAGAGCTGTGATTAAGCAATTTGTTCAGTTGAACATCAGGCACTTTGCCTTCCTTCACTGTATTTGTCCACTTTGAACAAGCCTCCCTTTGTCAAAATCTGTGCCAATCCTATTTTATTATTTAATTTATGGGTATCATTAGAAATTTTCTATGACAGATTATTCTAATTAAAACTGAATAAATGCTTTCTCTTTTTCCTGTCCAATAACACTAACTTTCTGGAAGTGCTGGAATGACAGAATTCTAGGAATTTGACAAAATGTATTGCT